CTGGACTTATACGAATTTCAGTCCAGTCCAGTCCAGTAACTCGTGAGAGACTGGAATAAGTCCAATGACAACCCTGACCGTATAATTCCTAACACTAGTTGATGTAAATCATATTTAAATTAATTGTTTAACTTTTACATATACTGTATTTGATTAATAATAAAGAATTACTCGCATGTTTTTAGGTGTTAGAGTGAATCGTTTTACTTTTTCAATTATTTTAGCATAAATTTATTCTTAAATATGGTTATAACGATGTTACATTGAAAATTCCTTAATGCTATTAATATTTAAATTTCAAGTTGATTCTTTACAATAATTCTGCTTCATATTGTATACTATTTAAAGAGATACTTTGTTGCTGGAACGAATATTTAAAATGAGAACATAAAATTCTAACGTAGCGTTGTTATAAACATGTTTAAGAATAGATCTATTTTAGAATGGTTAAATAAAGTAAAGCGATTCACTCTATATATCTAAAAACATGCAAATCATTCTTTACTATCAAAAAATATATATATAATGTGATAAAGAATCTGATCACAATTCAAAAAAAACTTTCGAATTTTTTATATAGTACAGTTTCAGTAATGTTTGCTCTGACAATTAAATTTAATGATATATAAATTCGTACGTCGGAACAGAATTTCGTTCTTTGCAATACACTATCCGATAAACGAATTTCATGATTATCCATTTTTACCTCACTACATTCAAAGAATTGCTTTCCAAGTATCTTGCAACAAATCGGCTAATGCATGTGAAGACTTTTATTTTTCTATTAAAGGTTACAAGATTCGCAAATGCAAACACAATGATCGAAAGACATTCCTCTGTAAGATCCTCAATGACACATATATAGTTGGATACAAATTCGGCATTATTAGAATTGCGTACAGTGCTAATAAAGTCTTCTTAATAAATAAGAACTTATGTAATGGTTTTAATTAATTTGCAATGCATTGTATATCTTAAAGAACGATGAACATTTTAATTTTGTTTGAAATTCTTTAGTGATTACAAGCTATTAGCTATTACAAGCTTACGACGTAAGTTAGGGTTCATATGATAGAGTTTATGACATTATTATCCATCAGTAAACGTTATGCTTAAATAAAAATAAACATATTTCTGAGTATGAAATTTAATTGTGAATGACTATTTGCTCAGTAAATACAATTAAGATCACTCAAATCATCACTTAAAAACTATCAACCGTACGTATAATCTATTTATACGGCATCAATTAAAAAAACCCAAATTAATTCTGAACTTTAATCACATGTAACTTTATCTCTACTTTATTTTCTTTGTATTTGGATTATTTCATATTCTGTTACTGAAAAATAACCTGCACTTCTAATTGCTTTTTCATAATAATTACGACCATACCAACATTTATTATCTTGATTAAAATTATCGTACATGCGGAGATCAAAAAAATCTGGACCATAAGCAGGACCACAATTAATTGCTAATTGTGGATTGCTTACACGACTTAAAATAGAGGAATTCATAGTACCATTTTTCAATGAAAAAATAAAGCCATCATTGCAATTTACAAAATCTTTAATTGATTGATCCCATTTTAAAGGATTATAACCACCAAGAATTTCATCGGAGTTTTTAACTTTCATTAGCACAATAGTATTTGCTTGCTTATTACATTTTTCCCAAAATGATTGAGGAGTAAAACCATCTCTGGTTCCGCGACAAAGTAATTTAAACTCATGCGGGTTGTTTTCTATTGAATATGTTTCAACTTTCTTATCAACCCATGTCGCAATTTCTGCTGCATGTTCTTCAGTGATAATTGTTGAAAATGGTTCTGTCGTACATTTTGACGGTTTCTGTGTTAAAATTACTTGAGGTATTGAATATATTGCTTGAGCAACTGTTGAAAATGGATTTGTCGTACGTGTTGGCAATTTTGGTGTTAGAATTACTCGAGGTGGAAGAATTCTTGATGATATTTGTCGATTTGGATTTACAATTCTTTTCATTATGTCTTTCCAAAGATCTCTTTCTAATATTGTTTGGTATGGTTCTATATTTTCAACAATGTCATCTCCAGATATTTGGAAATAACGGATATGAGGTAAGCAATTCTTTAATGTATTTTTTAAAGCTAGAAACTTTTCACTAGCCCAATTTTCTGGTCCACTTGATGATAAGCTTGGATTTTGTGTGATTCCCCATTTAATTATATAATCAAATTCTTATTTCTTCCATTTGTAAATCATCTCGTTTAATAAGAGAGACTAATGCATTTTCTTGAAGTGTTGTAAAACCTTCAGAGTCAAAAATATTATTTGGATACTTTACTAAAAAATCATTACACCAAGTTTGTAAATTTTGAAACCGATTATCTTGGAAGCATGTTTGATAAATGCGTGTAAAATGTAAACGAAGTCAATTAGCTTTTGTTTCAATTAAATGGTTTTCATAATCTTTAGCTAATTCTTCTAAAAGAAGCTCTGAAACAATGAGCATAAGTTCAAAAATTGATGATCTTTCTTGATTTTCCAATGAAACCACCCCTCCATAAATATATCTTTATTATATTTGTATATTTAGATTTTATGATTAGCTTTTAATGCATATTTTGATGTATTTTGATATTACAGGTTTCGCATACTAATTTTGTACACCCCTATCAATAATGTACCCACTCACATAATAAATATCAATTAGTAAAATTTAAAAGAATGTTCGTTCTTGATGGGGTGGCATGCGAAACCTGTATTAAAAATATATAAGTCAGTAACTTACTTAATAATAATTTCAAATTGTTGAATAGTAACATGGTTTAGATTAATTGGTTTAATCTTATTTTTATCTTTGCTAATGTTTGCCAATTTATCACGAAAATACAGTGATCTATATCTTAAAACATTCGAATGTGCTTGGAATACTTTGGTATTTGGCAATTCTCCAACATTAATGATTGCATTAAAATCTTCTTTATCATTAAGAAGTCAAGGTAATCTGTCGAAAGTTTTTCTAAGTGCTTTATTGCCACCTTTATGTTTAAGTATTGTACTAACACTATAAATTAAAAAATGGGTACACTACATATATATGTTGCATCTAAAGTAGTGATTTATCTAAAGTAGTGCCTGGCTAAAATTGTCATACAACCATCCATAAACCAATTTTCTTTTGATATAGCCTAGGTTCAAAATTTTAAAAAAATGAAAAAATGAAAAAAATGAAGTTAAAATCAGATGTCGGTATAACCAGATGTCGATATACCCAGAGTGACACGCATTTTTTTACAATTTTAGTTCAAGTTGCAAAGACAAAATGAGTTCGCCCAGTTCAAATTGTATCATAATAAACAATTTTACAGATATTATTATTACAAGTGGGGATGTTCATAGCAAAACAAGGCTTAGGGACTATATAATATATAGTCCCGAAGCCTTGTTTTGCTGTGGGCATCCCCAAATGTTAAAGTTTAGTAATCATTAGTTTAGGCTTCTAATAAATATAATTGTTTAAGATGATTTATTTGAACAGATTAATATGTCAATAACGATATTGTCATAAAGATGGATTTTGGTACCCGAGAATTATAATAAATATTATACCGTAATAATTCCCAACCATAGTTGGGGTATTTGGCCAACTATGCAAATCAAAATTATATGCTGTATCATATTTAACTTGTTTTTTTTAAAAAATTTAGAATGGTCAGATTCTTTATCACTTTATATATATATATACATAAAGTGATAAAGAATCTGATAACTAATTTCAAAAAAATTCCAAATTTTTTTATATAGTACTGTAGCACACCAACATTTCAGATAATGGTTTGCTCTGACAATTAAATTTCATGATATATAAATTCGTACGTCGGAACAGAATGATTGTAGATTTTAGAATTCCAAGTTGGATGTTGTAAGTGGAAACGGAATTTAAGTGGATTCTGAATTTTTATACAAAACCAGCATTTTGGGGGTGATTTTATCACATACACACCCATACCCTCACCCTAATTTAACTAGGAAATTCCGTTTCCGCTTATAACATTGATAAGAATTTAAAAGCGACTTAAGTTGATTCTAAATTTGATAGTTTAAATAATAGATAACTATCACAATTATTTACAAAAAGCGTAAACATATGTTTGGATGAATGATTGTTCGATTCGTAAAAATTTTAGCTATGGCTAAGTTTTAGAAAGGAATTTTAATTTGTGTAATACACGATAATCATGATAAAAATTTATATGATCTGTATTATAGATTATCAAACTTTGATTCATCCATTTTTTTCGGATGGCATCTAGACTTCCAAATAGACTACTAAGTATCAAAGACACTAAATCGATTTTCAAAGTAGGCCAATGTGATTTTTTAAAAGGCCCAATAAATGCTAAAAATGCGATTGAAAGGATAAAGAACAAGAAAATAAAAGAAAAACTTTTAGCTAAACAACAGGTAATAGATTAATGTAGATTAATTTGTAGTATCCGGTTTATTAGTTATTAGACGAAACCATAAAAGTTATGGCGTTGGCAAAAGGCGAAACCTGACTTCAATTGTTGTCCAAAATTTATTATGGAACTGGTGAAAAGTGATTAATTTACGAGAGTTTGGAGCCAGTCTATTTTCATATGGGCCTTTGTCTTGAAAATGGCATGGAAGTTAGTAATATATATTCCCCATAAGGTCATTTTCAAGGCAAAAACCCCATATGTTAATCCGACTAAAACCAATTGTAGCATATGAAATTCTAAACCCAAGGCGAAAAGTGACTGCATACATCTAAACTGCCGCTCATGCGAAGCCAGATTTTTCATTTGGATATGAATAAAGGTACTATTTTGTAAATTTAATCGTATAAGCTACACAAATCGCAACATCGTTTAAAATACTTTCTTTTACGATCTAACTCGGATTCGCTTTTAACTAGAATTTCGATGGCTTCATTCTCCAAAGTTTTTTCCTTTCGGCGGGTTCCGCAGTTTCTCCAGAGAGTTTCTCTTCTGATCTTAGGTTTCTTCATTCATGCAATGGTTTCGCCTAACAACTATAATATTTTATATATTATTATGTCTAATACTTTGTACATAATTAGATAAATTCAACCCCAAAACCAAAAGACAAACCAGTTTCAAGATATTTAGAATTTGTATCAAAAAAGAATGCATTTAAAAAATATCGATCTGTTAGACCTCGCTTGATAGAAAACCCCAAATCTTTCTCTGATCACGTAAATAATCAAGATGTTCTACATCAAGGGTCCAAATTAAATAGACGAGCATTTTTACTAAATATGATAAATAAACGAAGTCATGGTCTTCCTACATTAAGTAATGCGTCATTTCCATCAAGTCAAGAAAATACTAAGAGGGTGAAATTTATAGATTTAGAAAAAGTTTGGCAAAATGAAAATTCATTTCCGAAGGATTATGATCCGAACTGGAGAGATCGAGAGAATCTTCCGAATTGGTTGAAACATAAATTTGCAATTCAAGAGAGAACAATGTTTCAGAAATGGTGTCCAAAAAAAAGAGTTCCGAGGGAAGTTATGGATAAAATTCGGCTGTTGTATCACCAGGTAACGTTATATATTAAGAATTCTCTTTAATATATATTTCCTTATTTTTATTTTATTTACTTCTTTTTTAATAGTCTCCGGAAGAAAATACTCCCCAAAAATTATCTCAACAATTCAAAATATCACCCGAATCAGTTCGTCGTATCCTCCATTCAAAATTCGTTCCCACGCCTGAAGTATCGATACGACAAAATCAAAAAATATTGGGGAGCCTTATAAAATTTAAAGCTGAGATGAAAGCTAAACGGAAAGAAGAAAATAAATTGATTAAGCAAAAAAAGAAAAAATGGTCAAAAGATGCTTTGCCTGCAGTTAAAAAGCCTAAACAGAAAAGAGATAGGTTTTTAAAAGTGTTAAACGCCGTTCAAAAAGGTAGGATCAGTATATCTGAAAGTTAAGGATACAGAATTACATCCTCAATGAAATGCAGCATATATGAATATTAATATCGATCTTCTTTAACAGTTTCGGAGATATGACCTAGGTAAATTTTAAACTTTCTTGTATATTTTCTGGAATAATTTTTCCGTTTTGTTTTATAATGTTACAGTGGGGGTGGTTTACCATCTTATAAAATCAGACATGTCTATTTCCATATAAATTTGCAATATTGTATTATTTTTTTAATCATTATAAAAAAAAAAGAACTTAGTAATTTATCACTGTGGCCAGTCCCTATCATGTGATGACATCATATACTTTCATTAAAATTTGTAAAAAAAGAAATCCTTATTTTATTGTAAACACATTAATAATTCCATTTTCGAAGGTTGAGTTATGTGTAATTTACAAATTTAAAAAAAGATTGATAACTAAAAAAAATAAGCAACACAACATGCAATCATCAACTTTATTAGTCGGTCAAAGACAGCGACACATCGTCATGGTGATAAATACAAGTCCCAACAATGAAGCAATGCATATACAGTACATCATAATTTTTTTGCAAATATTAACACTTGAGCATATCACTTCGAGAATTTACAGATTAATGCAGAATTTGTATAGTGTCAATTACAATTTTCACAGCATATTCTGCAGACTTTAATAGTCCAACTAATTTTTGTAACAAGGTTTCAAAGAGATTCGTCATGGAAGCAGCACTATATACATTAAACTTGCGCCGTAGTGACATGCTCGAAGGTTATTTCCAGATCAAATGTAAATATATATTTATTTAAGTATAACATAAAAGAAAGAGATAAATGTCAATAATTAATAACAAATTTACCTTGCAGTTCTTTTTTAATGACCTGTGTTCTCTTTTTAAATTTTTTTATTAAATTATTTTTTTTTAGATTTTTTTCTAACTTGTTATTTTTTTTTTTTTTGAATATCCCTGTTGTCATTACAACTAGGGGCGCAGGTGGCGCTCTTTTATTAAAATATTATGAGTGACTTAGTTACTTTTTAGATATTTACATATTAGTTTAAAAGATTTAGATCTAGTACTAAAGGGGTT